TTTTGAACTCCTGATCCTCCTTCCTCAGCCTTCCCAGCTGTGGAATTATTGGCGTGGGCCACCAGGGCTGGTACATCAGAAAGAGTGGATTGTACGTGAATTCCAACCCAAATTTCAAAAAGGCAATGAATTCAGAAAGCAAATCCTTTTCTAATGCCTACATGTTACCATGATCTGGAGATGATCCAGCTCTGGATGTGTCCAGGAGATGGCTGCCATAGTGACTGCCAGTCATGTGGCACAGTATTTACACCATGGAAATCGGGACATGCTGCAGATCAACTTACTACTTTGTTCATAGTCTAGACTTAAGAAAATGATGAGGAAAAAGTTAACAATGCCAGTTAAACTTAAAAGTAAGTTGTTTGTAGCAGTGATATTGTCAATAGCACAAAAAATGGAGAGAGTCATTTTACAGTAATTCACAACTGCTGATTCCACAAAGAAGTCACTCATTTTCTAACAAGTATAATTCCACCATAAAGGGTTTGTTGTTTCATCTTGCTCCTTAAGGTAAACAAAAATATCAGTCAAGCAACATTCATGTCAGAACTAGACTCATTTGTCAGTGGCAGCCATAGGATGGCTATGGAAACGAGCGCTGCAAAAATCAGTGAAAGCCTATTTATAAGAATCATTCAGCTAGGCGAAGTTCAAAGTTGAGTGTTGTGTATTTTAATATTATTTGTAAATTGTGTGCTTTACTCCTTTATAGCAATATAATGCATAATAAAGAAATGTATGTGTGCATATGCGCGCGCGCGCGCGCACACGCACGCACGCACACACACACACACACACACACACACACACACACACACACACACACACCCTTACCTTTTCCTGCCCCAGAGAGCCATCTGTTAAACATTTACTAGCCACCACTGCCTGGGACCATCAGCCTGGAGGCTGATGTGGTTGGACACAGAGAAGAGGACCCAAATCCAAGGTCCAAGCCCTGGAACTCGTCCACACCAGAGACCTCAAGGAGAACAAGCTGGGTAGGAGCAGAAGCGAGGGGGAAGTGGTCTCTGTCATCTCTTGTAAGGGACCTCTGAGGCTACAGTACGGGTGGTCAGAACCTGGGGCATTAGAGGGATTGGGTCTTGAATCTGGCGGTGGCCTGGGCCACTTGCCACTAGGCAACTTGGGTGAGCCCCTTCACCTTTCTCCGTCCACTTCTTCAGCTAGGAGGTTGGAGGAGTGGTACTAGCTAACACTGGCCCTTCACCAGTTTTGGAGATGAAATGAGGTGATATGGTAAAGCCAGACACTGGCCCTGGGGTGCCAGCATGTGGCAGCTCCTCTCCTGTGAGGGGGTGGCCCTGGCCTGGGTGGAGGTTGGAGCAGGCTGGAGGCTGTGCGCACAAGGGCTGCAGAGGTGAGGGGGCCTTTGAAGTATCTGTCTGGGGCCACAGGAGCCACCCCAGGGCCGGTGGTTAGCAGTGGGAGGGGGGAGCCCCCCTGAGGAAGGCACAGGCACTGCCAGCGGGGGAGATACTGAGGGTTCTGCATGAGGTCAGTGTGTGCAGGTGGTGGGGAAGCAGGTTGGAGGGGCCACAAGAGCTGTGTGACAGGCACCATGGGGTAGAGGGAGCTGGGACTTGGCTTCTGTCCCCAGGCCTTACTCCGGGTGTGTCATGGAAACTGTTGATAGCAACAGCATGTCCTGGCCCAGAGCAAGTGTCTGAATTCAGAGGCCAGGCAGTCCCCTTAGTGAAGAGCCAAGGGGTGGGAACCAGCACTTCTCCAGAGCAGGGTGGGACACAGTGTCTCCTCACATTCTGCCCAGGCTGGGCTGCTCGGGTCATGGATGATAGTAGGGTTTCAGGATTAGGCTCAGCTTAGGCTCTCTAGGTCTCTGGAGGTGCATCCTTGGTTGCCAGTTTTGGCGCTCTAGCATCTTTGATAGAGTGGTTTAAATCAATAAGTGTTAACATAACTCTATGATTTTTTTTGTCCTTTTCTGGACACAGGAGAGGAACAGAGCCAGTGCTGAGTTCCTGAACGGAGGGACTCCTGCTTTCAAGGAGGCAGGTGCTGTGATGTCCCAGGAGGTGCTTCTGGGGCAGGGAAGGGAACAGGCCAAGGGGGCAAGGGACAGTGGGGCTGCTGTTTCTCATTGTGCTATAAAGGATGACTAAGTGATCCATAAGTTAATATTAAAATATTATTGTAATATTATAAGAATATCAGCACATCAAACAATAGATACTGCTTAAAAAGAAGCTTAAATTTTAAAAATTTGACTTCTTAATCTGGGCTGTACGCCAATAGTTCCAGCAGCTTGGGAAAATGAGGTAGAAAGGTCAGTTGAGTTCCAAGGCCAGCCTGGGCAAAATATCGAGACCCGTCTCAAACAAAACAAACTTGTAAATAATGGCATCAAGGTCAGGAGAGACTATAGCCATGGTGAGGCCTGGGGAATGCCTGTGACCCATATGGGTGGGAAGAATGCGGCTCCCTAACGGGGTCTCAGGGGCCCTCTGGGAAATGCTTCTAGAGGGCAGTGTGAATGCAAATGACAGGGCCCCAGGGCTGGACACAAAAAAAGAGTGATCAGATGGTTAAGGAGGGGCAGCCAGACAGACCTTTGACAGGGGTTTGAGGCAGTCAAAGAAGTGCAGCTGTCCAGGGCTGAGGACAATTCAGTAGCCTCTGCAATGACCCCAGGGTCTTGCTGGGGTGGGGTGGTGGACATCAGGTGAAATAGATGGAGACAGAACTGGATCTGGAGCTGAGGTGTGGGAGACAGTTTTGGATTGTGACAAACTAAAGAACAAAAGCCAATGAGAGGGCTGAGGGTGTGGCTCAGTGGTAGAGCACTGACCTAGCATGTGAGAGGTACAATTCTGGGTACAATTCTCAGCACCACATATAAATAAGCAAAATAAAGGTCCACTGACAAATAAAATTTAAAAAAAAAATAATAAGAACATCTGGTAAAGTAGCCACAGAACACGGAGCAACTATTTCTCTAGTGCTTTCCATGTGTGGGAAGTATGCTGGACCTTGGTGATTCTGTGGTGAACAAAATAAAGATTTGCTGCCCACAAAGAGTACACAACAGAAACAAATGGATACGTAGAGTTCAAAGCCATGAAGAGAGGACACTATAAGGATGGCAGTCCTTCTAATAAGGTGACTTTTGATGAGACAGTTGAAGGAAATGCTAGAGAATTCACAGGGCTCCCTTGGGAAGTATTTTCCAGGCTGGGGACCTCATGTACACAGGTTGAGGCAGGACACACTTGGCATGTTGAAGGAATGTCAGGGAGACCAGAGACAGAAAGAGAATGATGAAGAATGGTTAGAGAAAAGGCCAGAGGGTACAGAGCCATAGCCATTACTGAAGACCTTGAACTTTACTGAGGGTCCGAAAATCAATGCAAAGTTTGGGCTCAGGGGGAGATGTGAACTGGCTTCTCTCACATGGGCTACAGGCTGCTGCGGGAAGCTGGGTCAGGGAGGCTGCTGCGGGAAGCTGGGTCAGGGAGGCTGCTGCGGGAAGCTGGGTCAGGGAGGCTGCTGCTGGCTGGCAGCCCACCTCCTGGTCACACCAGCATAGGTCTGTGACCAGCAATGTAGCAGCAGTGATGGGGAATCACTTTCCAGATCGGGTTTTAAAAGAACACTGTGGCTTCCATCTGGCTGCTGCTGCTCTCAGATCATTCACTTCAGGGGAAGCCAGCTGCCATGTTGTGAGCTATTCTTTGGAAGGTCCCACAAGGCAAGGATCTGAGGTCTCTGCCAACAGCAGCAGCATCTAGCTTGAAAGTAGATACCCCCCGCCCCTCCACCCCACAGTCAAGCTGACACCATAGCCTCAACTGATGTCCTGACTGCTGCGTCATGGTCAAGAGACCCTGAACCTTGACCACCCAGCCAAGTTGCTCCCGGGTTCTTGACCTTCAGAAACTGTGCGGTAATAACTATTTATTTTAGCTGCTGAGTTTTGCAAATCTGTTAAACAGCAATAACTGATTACATGACCCGGAATGTAAACAAAGGTGGTGTAGGAAAAGTAGGAAGATCTTATATTTTAAAGAGATTGTTTTGCTTTTTTGATATTTGGCCAGAGAAATGAGGTGACTAGTAGTGCCAGCTAGTGAGGTGGGGAAAATAGCAAGAAGGGCTTTGGGCATGAGTGGTAGAGGGCAGTGATGGCAGTGTGGTCCAGACGGGTCAAGCTTGAGATGTTATTAGGCATCCAAGTGACAATTTAAAAGAAAGGAATAGAGGCTGAATTAGAAGAGTGAGCATAGACAGTGAAAGGAAGAGGCCCAGGTACAGACACGTCCTTCAACACAGAAAAGCTGTTGGTGAAGACAGAAAACCTGGGGGAGGCATCTGGAAATGGAAGTGCTTTGCGCAAGGACTGGTCCCCCTGACCATTCCTTGGGTGTGGTCAGTGGGATCGTGGAAGAAAAAGCCAGTGTGGCAGTGTGGAAGCAAGAGGGATGATGCTAGAACAGGCAAGATGACAGCTGACTGAAGTGACAGAACTTACATAAAGGTGACAGTGACAACAGCCATTTCTTTAAGGAGTTTTGACTAATAAGGGTATGGTTGTTGGGAAGAGACAAGGAGCTAAGGTGAGTTTTTAGTTCTAAGGCACTTATTTTCATGGCATGGTTGAATGTTAAGAAAAAAATGTAGAAAAGAAAGGAAGAATCAATTGTGCCTCCAAGGTCTTGATGTGAACTTTGAAGAATGTTCATGTGAGTTCCCAAGATGGAGGCACAGGTTGGGATATTCAACGGGACAAGGGTGTGGCCTGTCATGGCCTATGAGGCAATATTGCCCTCCCTAAAACTATGGGCATAGTGTCCCTCACTAAGCAACTGTCCTGGGAGAAGATGGGGAGGGCACAGATGCTATGACAAGTCCAAGAGTATTGTGATTCTGGTGACTGATACAGGGTTTCTCACAACCTAGGCAAGTGCTGCAACCCAATCCCCAAGACGCTTCCTGAAAGCAGATACAGTGACTTCAGCCTCTTATATTTGGTTTCATAGTGGACTTTATTGGGAAAAGCTAGTGTAAAAAACATTCAAATTAATAAAATTTAAATAAGACAGTAAAAGTATACCTTGTAGCTATAGTAATCAATGTAGTAATCACAAATAAGGTAAAATCTAAATTATGGCCTAAGCAAACACTATTCATTCTGTCAGGCTTCTATTGCAAGCCTAAGGCAGGAAACACTGCAATTATTAGAAGTGAGCCCAATGATGACTTTGCCTATGCAGCTGGGGAGAAAAAAGCATGTTCAAATTATGGCATCCCAACATCCCAGCCTGAAAAAAGCAACATTATTATTAATGTTCTGCAGCAGGGTGCATTAGTAATTGTAGCCATGCATTATAATTCTTATTTCATAAAAAATAATCAAGTTTTTTTGTGTGTTTTGTTTTTCATGATATGTTTTTATCCCTTGCAAGACCTTTCTGGGACATTCCTCCTCCACAGTTGAGTCCACTCTCTTTGCTGAGAGAATGGGTATTCCAATCTGATTATTACTAACAAGTTAATGTGGGATTTGCTTTGGTTATGGAATTTTTATTTAAGCTTATAAAAATACAGCTAGAAATATGCTCCTGAATCTAAAAGCATTTTTTGACCAATTTAAACATATCCTGGCAAAATTCACCACCTGGCTGGTTTCAAAATCTTCCTATGTAAGTGTTCTCTACTTAGCAAGTATACTTGAGTGAAGAACGGTGATTGATCTTTAAGAGCCCCCACGGGTGGGGGCAGGTGGTTAAGGCAGAATTAGATGCTGTCCATGGCTTTGAACTCACTGAGGGCCTGCACAGGGTTCACATGCTTCTTCTGAGATGCCCGCTTAATCTTGGTCTGTGTCTCATCCTGCTTCTCTCTCTTCACCAAGGGCTTCTTCTCAGGTGCCTTCATCTTCCAGGACACAGCAGGAAGGTTGAGGGAAGCCATGCCCTGGGACTTTTGGTATTTGGTGGAGGCTACATAGGATGCCTTCACTGTCTGCACCACAGCATTCATCAAGTTCTTGGCTGCCTGGATCAGGGACATGGCACTGTCCACCTACAAGGCACGAATGGGACAGTAAGGAGTCATATCTGATGGGAATGACCCTCTAGCACCACAATCTGGGCACGTCCCCAGAGTACAGAATACTGGCCAGCAACCTTGTTTCTGATTGGATACAAAAAGCCTTAAAATACCCATGTTTCAGATCCTCTGACAAAGGAAAGGGCGTGTAAGAAAGTATATAGGTCATCATCATCTTGCCTTCTTCCACCCCTCAAACATTCGTTCACAAAACAAACACTGGAGGTGGATTGGCATCTATCTTTTTGACACTGAGTGACTGAAGAACTAGAAGCACCAAGGAGGAATCCAGTCAGGCCCCTATCTGACCAATATACCCATTCTCCCTCTGCTTTCATTCATGACACAGGCATCTCCTCCCTCATTTTAGAGGATCTGGAAGATTGCTCCATAGAAGACAGATGAGTAAAGGGTGTCAATATGTTCTTTTTTTTTTTTTTTTTTTTGCAGTATTTGGCCTTGTGTACGTTACCCAAGCACTCTGCCACCTTTATAGAGACAGAGTCTTGCTAAGGTGCTCAGGCCTGCCTCCCGAGCAGCTGGGATTATAGTTGTGACTCATTGTGCCTGGCTGAAATATTCCTTTTAAAGGAAATTCCATGGGATTAACAGAAGTTGTGGGGACTCAGCAAAACAAGGGGAGGAGGACCCAAAATTGAGACCTGATTAACAGGAAAAAGAATAGCTACAATTCTGCACTTTTGGTAGAAGAAAGCAGACTGTCTACTTTGCAATTTCTGAAGAGGCTTAATTCTTCTCTGGGAAAGATAGATAAAAATATCTTTCCCAATGAGTGGCCAGCTCTGGTAGTGGCTGTAGCTATCACTAATCATGCCATGCTAAACAGAGCTGCAATTCTGCAGGGAGATGTGCAGCTTGTGGCCTCCGGGGACCAAGAGAGAACTTGGGAGTTTCTGCCTAGCACATGTTCTCCAAGTGAGGAGTTTATATAGATAGACTAGAGGCTGCTTTCATTTTAGACATAGTGGTAAGAAAAGGTGGTGAGCAGGAATACACTAACACTCACCCCAGAGACAACAAGCTCTCCACCAAGGTTCTGGACCTCAGCCTTGACTTTGCTGCAGATGTTGAGCTGGTGGCAGTAGAGGGCAATACGTTGCAGGTAGGCCAGCAGGTCCTGCTTGCAGGCTGAGTCTGGACACTGAGGGGAGAACAAACTCGGCAGGCTCAATAACATTGCAAGCCCAGTGACAGCACCCCACCCTAGGCCCAGTTCTGAAAGTTTCCTCTCGTCTTGCTGGAGCAAAGGGTAAGAGAGATAAATTATCCAGTTATTTGGGGTGTTCACATCCCTAGTCCACTTGGCTCAAGGAAGGAGGCAAGTCCCCTCAGGGAGCCCTAATTGTGCTGCATAGCATGGGACATAAAGACTTCCTGAGCCCTCCTTTCACTAACTCCACAACTTGGAAGAAACCACCACTGCCAAGGATTCAATTTTTTAGTAAGGAGGAAGCATTTGGCCCTAAAAAGTCTCAGCAAGAGCCTGATTACATAGAAAAGAATGTGTTAAGCTACGGACACTACCCAATCAAACAAATAGCTCTTCTGCCATGAAGCTTTTTACTTGCCCAGTTTTGGGTGCAAATATTAAACAGCCAATGACAGGAGACATTCACTTGAGGCAAAGATGGAGGATGAATAAGTAAACCAAAGCAAGAAACAGTGACCCTGCCCAGCTCCTGATACTGTTGAATCTCAGGTTGCTTTACCTAAAGAAGGAATCCTCACACCTCTCAAATGTTTGAAACACTTTCTTCCGATGAGACTGGGGCCTCACTGTGAACAACAGAGTTGTATAAAATGAGGCTTGTAGTTCATTCTGGAGACTGAATTTTTTTCTAAGAAGGCCGTGTTTTATGATGGCAGTGTTGGTAGCTGCATGCAGAATAGAGTGAAGACAGGAAAGAGCAGGAAGGGAGAGGCCATGGTGGTCAAGATAGGTGGAATGGAGCTCTGGATAAAGCTGTTAATTTCAGACAGGAAAAACTTTGATGGTGTCACTAGAAACAACAAGGCTTCTTACTGGGTGGTGTGAAGGATGATTTCAGAATATTTGCTTTGAGTAATGAGGGGCAGCTGTCACTCATCTGGCAGTAGATGAGGCTGAAAGTTTGAATAATTCAGAGAAAACAATGTGGAGGGAAAAATTAGCTTCTCTGATAAGTCTTAGAGCACCACAGGAAATGTTCCAGGAGATAGAAGCATAGTTTTCTGACCTATTACTATGAGGGAATAAAGGGATGAAACTGCTGGTTGAGAACAGGCAATACAAAGAACATGTCCCCAGCTAGGCACAGCAGCATTTCAAAATGCTGCTGGCCAATGGGGTGGGTTTCTTTGTTTTGTTTGGAGGTGGGGGGGTCCCCATGCTGAGGATTCTTTCAAACAGCTAGGCAAGCACTCTACCATTGACACTTTTAAAGGTCTCCCTAAATTGGCCCAGGCTGGCCTTGAGTTTGTGATTCTCCTGCCTTAGTCTCCTGAGTAGCTGGATTACAGATGTGCACTACCCCACCCCACCAGGGCTCCTGATTTTTATATGAAATAAACCGTGAGAGAGATACATGTGTTTCTAGTGTGTTAGGGTTGGCAGAATCAGTTTCTGCTCAGACCTGAAGTTCTTAAGAACTGAGAAATAAATAAATCAACAGCAAGTGTTCATTGTATATTAACTGAGATGAGTTCTAATGGGAACCAGACCTAGCTCCTCAGATTTGTCAAAGACAATACAGGAATACAGAAATCCTTAGAAATTTATGGTGGGATTAAAATAGGTCAGAACAATTTTTGGATAATTATAAGAGTGCTATGATCACGAATGGCCACCTCAGCAATGGCCACCTCTGGACTGTCTGAGCCTAGGATAAGCTCAGAGATAAGTTCAGGAAAGTTCATCACTTACGTGATCTGCGATGGTTCGGCCAAGTTTATCCATCCTGGATCCTGCCTCAGCAATTTTCTTGGCAGCACTAATCACATCTGATGTATTTTTGAGTGGTCCTTTACCTCTGAAAAACGAGAACAAGGATCCCTGTCCATGACACCCCCGCAGGGTCAGAGATGAACAGAACAGAAGATGTCTTACAAAGCAACCTGGCCTGTGGGGAAGAAAACTGTCCTGTCTCCTATCAGCCTACCAGGGTGGGGTGCTGCTCACCGGGTAAAGTCGGTCATCTCCATCATAATCATACACATCTGCTTGGCCAGCACGATGATGTCGTTGCCACTGTCATCCCATTTAGACACTTCTGCATCCAGCTTGCTTTTTTCTTCCTGGAAACTGGCCACCTGTTCCGCAATCTTTGCTTTTTGCTCCTGGGGAAGCTGAGCCATGATTGCCTACAATCAGAAGTACAGAAAGCTCTTATGTAAAGAGTGTGAAGTTCTCACAGTGCATTAGCCAAGAATATCTCCAACAGGCAGTGTATGACATAGGTTGGATAATGCTTTAATAGGGTTCATTTTTCCTGAAGGGCTATTTCTTCTCATTTTTTACTGACATTTATGGCAGCCTAAATTCCCAAACCACTTTCAAGAGCAAGATTTAGTGTGCAGGAAAAGAGCATGAGAGGGGTAGAAGCTAGTGTGGAACTTTCACAATCACATCTATGTAGGAACAGAAACTGGTTTAAATTTGGTTTAATTCTTTAAAAGTTTTATCTTCTGCCTCCCAGAAAATGAGAGGAGGCGATAAAGAAGGTGTCGAGCTCATTCAGAGCCTGCGGGCTCTGAATGGACATGTCCAAGTTTTCAAAGTATATCAGAAGTAGCTTTAGGCAGAGAATAATTTGCTGAGGAACATACATTCTAGTGGAACATACATTAAGCGGCTATCTGACAGCCACTTAAACCATGTTAAAGCAGCACCTGGAGCCCTCAAGGCCACAGGCCCAGGGCCAAGGCTCTGCCTCTTCGTTTCCTGAAGTGTTCGTGCCTGAGCAGGACTTAAAACAGTGACATGGTCACCGCTCAAGTTGGATTTCCAAGGAGTTAAAAAAAAAAAATTCTCCATAGAAATATTTCTTGGTGTCCTTCCAAAAACAAATGCTATTGATTGAAGATTTAATGACTTGAATGCAATGACTGACTGGTTTTCTTGAATGTACCACTGTTATTTTTTTAAACTCATGAATAATTAAAATAGCTCATATCCATGGTATCAGTGAGCTGGGCAAAGGCAGCAATCTTTTTCAAATTTCACAATCCTTTTAACAAATGTTGCATTGACTAGATCCTAAGCCTTTTTTGACCCAGGGATTTATCATAAACCAGAACCCTAGGGCACAGCTGAGGAGGAGGCCCATGTTCCTGCTCTGCTTCCAGTTGAACAGCAGGTGCCACAACTTAGGTTAACTTCAGTCCTACTGTTAGAGAAAAATACTGAGAGTGTTTTCCTGGAAGAGAAAAAGGCAAGGCTTGAAAGGGACAGGAAAGGTCTGTGGAACAAGTTAAAATGCCCCAAGGAGCACTTCCTTACCCGTGCACTTTGGCCAGCTATCAGCTGGTCATCTTCTGTCTGGACGCTCGTCCTGCTTCTGACATCAAAATCTTCTGTCTCAAAGTCAGAGTCATCCAACTCCTCAGGGGTCTGCCACCAAGACAGAGATCGTGAGTCAGACACAACCCTGGGCCTCCAACAACACTGTGTTTCTTGGCCAAAAGCACGAAGGACCCAGAATTCTGGGATTTAAGGTGCAGATTTCCAAACACTAACAGGTAATTAAATCACTCATCATTCCTGTATGGGCCCCACATCAGCACTTCCTAAAAAAAACTTCTTTTACAGGGGGCAGGGCTTAATTCTTCGTAACATAGATTTATATATTAATATATTTATATATAAATGTACAATTTCTTTGTATGATATATGGCTTGCTCCCCTCCCTGTTTTTGAGACAGGGTTTCACTATGTTGCTCTGATTGGTCTCAAACTTCTGTGCTCAAGAGATCATTTTGCCTCAACGTCTCAAGCAGCTAGGACTATGAAGTGCACAACTAGCTGGTTTTCATTTGAAATGTTATTTTTCCAACAGCTGCTTCTGAAGACAAAGGTGAGAACTATTGTTGGTGGAAAAGGTCTTAAAAATAGGGGTGTTTTCTACAGTATTAATCAGACTAATAGAACTTTCCTACTTTTTGACAAAAAGAAAATAACATAAAATTAATACTGGACTTTCTCTTAGGGAATGAAAGACTGTTTTAAAGAGTAAAAATAGGCAATGTATTCTAAAGTTTTGTAGATTTTTTTTTAAACTTTTATCAAAGGAAAAGAGGCAAGTAAGGGTTCAGTAAATTCTAAATGGACTCTTACTGGTTTTAGCTCTTTGCTTGAATGATGAAATAAAGTCTTATTTTACACAAACTATCAGCCTCATGATTAGCTACTTGAAACACAGTGTTGTCTTCCAGGAGTTATCAGAAAGGGGGCAGCAAGTGGAACAGCTGGGATTGGCTCTCAGCAAGCTGGCCTGTGACAAGAGGGCAGCAAGGTGAGGCCCTCATCTGCACCTGTCCCTCACCCAAGCCCAGGGCAGGGGCTTGTTGTAAGGTTCAAATGGAGAACATGTGAGAAGTGCTCAGAAACCAACAAGAGCATCAAAGGTTCTGACATCTGCAAAGGCTGGGCTCCTCCCTGAATAAGACAAAATAAGAATGGTATATGTCACACAAGGTACCAGAGAGCACATCAATATTGAGACCCTGGGTCCTGCTGATTTTATGGCACAAAATTTGATGCCACCACTGGTGATTTTAATGCTGTGGTCACAAATATCTTTAGTGTTGTGCACTCAGGGGCTTTTCAAAGCAGGGTCTCCTAACATCATCTCTAACCTCCCCCAACCACCCATCACAGACCAAAGAACTACTCCTGCCAAGAAAACCAGTAACTCCTTTTCTAATATTCAAATATCCATTGAGGCTGAGTATCTAAGTGTGCTATTCTGGGCCTTAGAGATACAAAATGACACAAAGATACCTGTTCTTTACATAATCTAATGAGAACAGTGGCAACAAACTAATAAGTGAAATACATACAAATGTTATAAATAAATAGAGCAGTGAAGGGAAACTGGATAGTCAGGAAAGGTCTCCTAAGGCAGTGCTGTGGGAAGGTGAAGGGAGATGGAGGAGGAGTGTTTGCCTGGGGAAGCAGATGACTAGCAAGGAGGCCACAAAAGAGGGACTTGGCTCACTGCTCTGAGTAAAGGGGACAGCAATAGGACACAAGGATGGAAAGGCAACAGAATCAGATCCCAGAAGGCTTCACAGGCCAGTGTAAGAATTGAGTGATGGCAGCTTTTGGAGAGTTTGAAGCAGTGGATGACATGATCTAACCAAAGCTTGAAGGCATCACTCTGGCTGCTCTCAGACAATGAGACTGTAGGCATCTCCAGATGGACCAGGTGACAGATGCTGGGGGCTTGTTCAGATTCTCTATCAGGAAGGAAAAGCCAATAAGACCAGATGAGAGGTATGCAACAGAGAGAACTTAAGGAGAATCCAAGGTTTGGCCTGAATGTGGACGATGATGTTGTGATCAGGTAAGAAGCTTGGGCATAACAAGTGCTCAGGGAGTGGGCAAGTCAGCTACACAAGCTACACATTGGAGAGTCAGCTTCTCAATGTTGGCCAGGGACTTCCCAACAGCCCCATCAATGTTAGTGAGATGACAAACAACAAAGAGAAGGAAAAGGGCCAAGAGATTTCTTTCCCCTCTTACTATGGTATAACCAACAGAAAAAGTAGATGAAGAAAGGTAATGAACATGGAATCTCATGCCTGCTGCAGGGATGGCCTCAGCCAGGAGCATAATCAGGGATGTCCGTGGTACCAAAAGGAAGCCATGGGGCACAAGCAGAGGGGAAAGACTTCCAAGTGCCTCATTATCCTGAGTAGAATCAGCAAAAAGGCCACATTAGAAAATGGGGGCTCAGGTGTGGGAGGGCAGAGGAGAGCAAGGAAGTATGAAACAGCTATAGACTCTAGGATAGAACTGGGAGATGGACAACTGATACTGGGCACCAAGGGCCCACACGTGGACATGGCTTCAGTGACCTCTGTCAGGGTGGCTGTACTGATCTGTACCATACCCAGCAAGAGAGTGCAGGACTTCACTAGGACTACATTTTGCAAAGTATGAATAAGGAAGAGGGGAAATGGATATGACCCAGACTCAAAATTAATAAATGAATGAACCAAGGACCTGAGGGTTGAATGCAAATAACAAGTGGGGAGACCATCCAACTAAAGTATTGGTGAACTCAAAGGACTGTTCTGAGTCACAGTACTGGAAGGAGTAGGTTGAACACTGAAACTGGGATAATGGAGGGGGTGTAAATACTGGTAGTGACGTGGCTAAGGCATGGCTATGGAAGTGAAGTTGAAGTAGGGGAATTATGAGACAGAAATAGGGATGTAGAGCAGAATAGCAAGTGAGAAGCTAAATCACAGTGTCTCCAAATGAAGCCTATTTCCTCATCCTTGCATAAGCACTCCTGGCTACCTCACTTTTGTCCTGAAAGGCTTCCCTGTATATTCTATCACTCTTCACATGCCTGTTGTCCAGAGGAAGTTCTGTTAAGACCTTTGTCATTCTTTAGTCCCAGCACAGCTATCAACATGGTAAGAACAGCCATTAGGTGCCAGGCCCTGTGGAACCCATCAATTACACTGTCTCTGTAAAACCATCAAAGCCACCATTACCTCCATTTTTAAGAGAAGAAATCAGCATCAAGAGAGACAAGGGAATTCATTGGATGAAGAACTCAAGCTTCCTGCCTGCTCTTAGGAAGTAGTTTCTCACAACCAAGACAGCACTACAGGGCCTGAAGCATCTCTTAGATGAACACAGCGTCAACCCTCTTCAACCCATTCTGGCTCAGCCTCAGACATTCAGCCACACTTCTGCCATTAGGGCTTTTTATTTTTTTTTTAGTTGGAGATGGACACAGTGTCTTTATTTGTTTATCTTTATGTGGTACTGAGAATCAAACCCAGGGCCTCACACGTGCTAGGCAAGCCCTCTACTACTGAGCCACAACTCTAGCCCTGCCATTAGGGCTTTTAAAATTCTATTTCTAGATGTATGCTAATATTGGAAAGAACCTTGGCAAAATGTACATCACCACTGGTATACACGACCTTGGAACCCTCACACATTGCTATACCAGGCTTTAGCTGAAGTGTGGGTTCCTTAGCACAGCAGCAGGAATAAAGACAGCAAAGCCTCCATGAGCACCATCAATGCACCATCTGTACAGCAGGCAGATGCCATATTCCACATGCCCGCTCTGCAGTTACAGCAAGGGCCATCCAGTTGGCCTGGAGAAGAACGTTCATGGACCCTGTCTCCTCAGACTCCAGAGCAACATGCTTATGGTCTCAGCAGCATGCAAGGGACCAACTGCTATGGGACAGACAGCCAGAACAGCTAGGCCCAGCACCATAGGGGTGTAGTTTGGGTGGGGTTGGTAGTTTCTAAAACCGGTTGGTTTATGCCCCAGAAGAGGCCAAGGACTTTCTTGCAGCAATGAGAACTGCTGTTTCCTTGGAGAAGACTGGTTAAACAAGGAGGCAGTATACCCTAAGATTCTAGCATCCTGCCTAAAAGTCTAGCATATCCCTTCCAGGAGGGACACTTAATGTAAACAATAACTTTAGCCTATGTTAAGGAAATACTTCCTTCTCTAAAATTAACTTAAGAATCTGTATTTCTGTAGTTTCCCCTCCAATTAAAGCCAAAGCCACACACTACAGTAACTCCCTAAATTAAGTCTTTAAGGCCAACTCATGCTAGCTCCCCTTCTCAGCCCAAATTTGGGCTGTTAACAGTCATTTTATTTACTTATTTGCTTTTTAAATGTTATTTACTTTTTAGTTGTAGTTGCACACAACACCTTTATTTATATGTGGTGCAGAGGATCGAACCCAGGGCCTCCCACATGCTAGGTGAGCGCTCTATTGCTGAGCCACAACCCCAGCCCCTTAACAGTCATTTTAGACAACATAATTAAATATATCTCATTCTAACAGCTTTTAGATTCATGGTTTTAATATATTGCCACTGCATCTGCTGAGTTCCAGAATGACGCATAGCTCAAGTTTAGCATATGATAAGAAAGAGGCTGTTAAAATGTCTGGAATGTAGTTACTCACCCTTATCATCAGTACTGCTTTCCTGATATCCCGGATACCATCATAAACCAGGCGAGAGGCATCAATAAACTCATTCTCATCCATGGGCTGAGCAGGGTCTGAGCTGAGGGCTTCTACAGCTGCTTCCACTTGCTCTGTGAAACGAGGCATGACTGAAGAGAAAAAAACAGGGCGGGTTGCACTAGTGAGCAGATAGCATCCTACCAACCTTCCCTGAATCCTCAAGTCAGAAAAGTCAAGGCTCATAAGGAGACTGTACTTCTCTCCCCATGTGAACAGTATTTATTGGTGAGGTAAATTAAGTGCAGTATTTACAAAGACTCATATAATCATCTTTGTCTCTCAACAAACTGCAATACAGGGTTTGGATGCTTGGGAAGTTGAAGTGTGAGACTAACTTGAGGCTGTGTTTAAGAATAGGGCATGGTGGTGCATGTCTGTAACCCTAGCAACTCAGGAAGTTGAGACGGCCTCAGTGTCCCAATACCAAGAAGATGGGGGGAAAAAAAAGGATGAGAAAAATAAAACCATTAATTTAATATTTACTCATTAATAAGATACTTAACTCAGAAGTTCATCTTAAATAGTATGTTTGGGATTTGTTCCTTGTTTATCCATGATCACCCATGATATGTTCCTGTGAAGCCTGACTTTGGCAGACTAGCTTCCCACAAGTATGGTGTACTACCCAGAACCTGTAAGACCAGAGCCAAGTTTTCACTTCCTTTTTCCTAACTACAGGGCCCAGGCTAACAGAATGATAGCCTACCCTACCCAGGCTGTGTGTGAAGCACTATGGAGGGAGAGTCCCCGCACCTGTATTGGAGAGCAGCTTGGTGGCTTCCAGAACTTTCTCTGTGTAGACTCCTGGCTCATAGTTGTCCATCTCTGAGGTGACTACATGAATGACTCGGGCTGCCCGACCTCGAATTGCACCAGCTGTGCGGTCCAGACCATCCACATCTTTCTCTTGGAGAGCAATGACACATTTGTTCACATCTTCCAAAATGTGATTCTCTGAAGAACAAGCAAAAAGCTGAATGAGGAAGGGGGCCTTTCACTAGAAGACAATCATTATAACTTGGTATCTGTCATTTACTGATTGTGTGCTTGGTGCCAACCACAATGTCAAATACTTTGTGCACCACTTCACTGAGGGTACCAGATCAACTGTTCCACAGAAACTTAACCTGTGGTCACTACCAAGAATAACGCTCTTCATTCCATGTTTTTAAAGAAGAAATGCCCATCTTTTAGGCACTATTGTTTTATAAGCCATGCAGAAAATTCTTATCACAGAAACTTTAAGAACTCCTCTTCCTTTACTAATTTCACTGACCACACATTCTGAAATCTTAATCAGAAGGACATGAGTTGACTGTGAGGCTTTATCCATTCAGTCTCCACTCTCCCTCCAGGAGATGCTACTCATATTCAGAAGCCAGTATATAGCCCTGAGAAAGAAGTGCTGGGAAGCAAGTTTAAGCCTCCTCTGGAGGAGGCTGATGGAGTGAAGTATTTAGGAATCCTCTCATGGTACATAGATGGGTTGGGTCTATTGTGATATCTGCAGGACCCCTAGAGGGGGGAAACCTGTGAATTCTGTTAGACTGACAAGAAGTTCCTCCAAGTCATATAGTGGGATGTAGAAGGTTCAAAAGTATTCTCCTCAAAGCAAAAAGCTTAAAACTGATTTTCAAGAACCTCAGAGCAACTGAGCACAGTGGCTCATACCTATAATTCCTATGTAATCACAGATACTGGGGAGGTCATGTCAGGAGGATTACAAGTGTGAGGCCAGTCTCAGCAACTTAGCAAGACCCTATTTCAACATAAAAAGAGATGGGGCTGTAGCTCAGTGGTCGAGTGCTCCTAGGTTCAATCCCCAGTACCACAAAAATACACCAGCTCAGAGCAAGGGGCTCACTTTCAACTTCATCTATAAATAGAATAACAAATGTCCAAAGGATGAGTGGATGAGTTACATGTCCTATGCAGCCATTACAATGGCCAAGGGGCTATAGCTCATGGCAGAGCACTTGCTTAGCATGCATGAGGCGCTAAGTTCAATCCTCAGTACTACATAAAAATAAATAAAATAAAGGCATTCTGTCCATCTACAACTACAAATTTTTTTTAAAAAAAGATGTTGCATTAAAAAAAAAAAAAAAAAGGCCCAGGCAGATCTGTAGGGACTGACTTAGAATGGGAGAAGGAGGTACTCTTATTGACCCACAACTGCAGAGACCACCAGCAAATAGTCCAAATGATGGTTGCAATAAGTAGCAATATGGTAAATCCTCAGGTCATCATCTGGCTATGTCCCTTCTACTCATAAAGAAGTCTTCAAAAGGCATGTAAGAACTCTTAGAAGCAGTGTCTGGTATAACAGGTGAATATTAATGGTCCTTTGGAAAAGCCAGAATAATGATGGCAAATGCAATCTTAAGAAACAAATATTCGTATTTTTCTCCTGACCAGCTCTGGTTATCTAATGCTTTGAACATGTCATTATTCAGGATAGGTTTTTTATTTAATCAACTTCAGAAGCCACTATTCCTTTCCTCACAGCTTCTACCAACATACTCAAATTACAAATGATAGCATTTGGAAGGGAAGTAACAATTTGACCTCTTAAAAATACCCAAAACATGAAATTGCTCATGGTATAACTCTTAACTGATTTCACTGACCACACATTCTGAAATCTCAATCTGAAGGACATGAGTTGACTGTTAGGCTTTATCCATCCAGTCTCCACTCTCCCTCCAGGAGATGCTACTCATATTCAGAAGCCATTATAGCCCTAGAAAGAAGTGCTGGAAAGCAGGTTTAAGCTTCCTCTGGAGGAGGCTGATAGTGTGAAGTATTTAGGAACCCTCTCATGGTACACATAATTTCTTCTCATCTCAAGGTGAGACGGAACCAAGTGGAACCTAACAAAGAATAGAGCCACTGCATTGCAAGTCTACAGGCTGCACAATGCCCCGTGGGACACGAGAACCTTCCTATCACAATTTCCCATAAGACTGCAGGAAGGATCTCTGTTATGAGCCCACAAGTATGATGGAGCAAGATGAAAATCACAATGAGAAATAACCAATGATGTGAAAGACTGTTGGTTTAAAAAAAAAAAACACACACAACAACATTAGGAAAGTCAGAATTCTTATAGAAGGGAAAAATAGATTACCACAATACAGTGCATACCATATTTTAGCCTCTTAAAAAAATCATGACAGATAGAAAGATGGTGAGTTAGAAGAAGGGTACACTCCCCAGCAGTTCATCAGCTCATGATTTAAACAGTGGTAATACCACTTTAGTGAGGTAGGTGACTAAGGGAATTCACTGAAATTCAACACTGGACAGTATCAAAATCAGACAGGGAAAGCATGGTGAATAACATTGGCTTGGGGGAACTTGTAGAGTAGAGAAGCAGGCTGATCTTAACCAAACCCAGAGACAATGGGGTGAGTGAAAACAACCAAAATCACTTGGCTACTGGGTGTAGAGTCTGGTGGGAACCATTTTTAAGTGGCCACATAGCAGTGAGCAGAGGTGGGAGATTAGGAACTCATAAAAGATGTTGCCAGCTTGACCCAGCAGTTGCCCATTGTGGGATTCAGGGCGTACCTGGACCAGCATTATTGAAACAGGCACAATGAGAATTTTGTGTAAGGCAATTCAGGCTGGGATACTGAGGAGACCAAGCCTCTTTGGTTATTGGTGCCCAATGCAAGTACCTGGGAAGATGCCAGTAACCAGTCAGCTCTGCATTCCAGGTCTGATCCTGAATAATTCACATCCATGGCAGTGAATATGTCAGGCCTTGGGAGGTTCTGACTCCTCACCCTAAAATTAGAATTTCAGGAGGCCACAGGTGCCCAGCAGATTGGCATCTGCCCAGCAACAGGGTATGTGGTGAAATCTCAGATACTCATCTTCTAATTTATACCTCTGTACTAGTCCCACTATGGAAGTACATCATTTGTCAGCAGTCCCATGTTTATCCCATCCTACACTGAGACAGGAAGCTGAGAATTACTAAAACTAACTTTGGCTCCTGGCCATTCACAGCTGGCAGCTTGATAAGAAACAAAAAAGAAGGGGGACTTAACCCCAGCCCTTGACATAAGGGTCACATATCCCCAAAACTGAAAAATACACAACAGTATAAATAATGAATATCCATTCCTGCCAACAGTTTAAACCACTGCAGTGGGGAAAAAAAACCTTTATTTCTCATTAATTTTTTTTTCCTTATTTCCCCTATTTTTCCTTTTTTAAATTTTTTTTTTTTACTTTTTCCAGTCTATATGATGTGTGTTCCTGCTGTGCTGATTATACATGTATGTGTGTATAAAATTTTTCTTTCATCTTAACTGCTTTCTTCATTTATTATTTAGCTTTAGAATAAGGCTTTGGTTGGGGATAAAATTTTACATGGGTATGATTTGTTTTGATCTTACTTTTGATTGCTTATACCTTGTTTTTTGTTCTTTTTATTAAGCTTTCTTCACTCTCTTCCCCCACTAATAGCCAAACTGTCCGGTTCCCTTTTCCTCTGCTTTATTACTTTTAGTTATGTACTACTCCTCCTTTATATCTGTCATCTGCTACCTGCTTTTCCTCTGTTCACTTTTAAAATTTCTCTTGCCATCCTACTCTATTTTTCTCTCAAGAACCTGTATCCCACTAGCTGATAGAATTTCACAGTTTATGTAATTCCTACCCCATTCGTGTTTTTGTGATTATTAATACAGTGGATGAGGTAGTAGACATCTGCTATTTAATGTCTGATCTAGTTCATGGTTACTTATTATTGGTGCTGATGTTAAATGCTAACCCCACCATTCCTCTACAGGTGCTAGCTAATTCATGTTATAGATGTCCAAGTAGACATAGGACATTTATTTTAAGGCTCAACAATGATTGCTAACATTAATGCTATACCTTGCTCCCCCTTTCTCTAAGAGGGGCTGGGAAGTGATTAGGATACTTCAAGTTCACAGATTGGAGATCCTGCTGCTGAGCAACACTCAACAAATCAACCACAAAACAGCAAACCTCACTCCATATATGAGCTAGCCCTGCTAGAGCCTCAATACTATCTCAACACAGAGAATAAGGGAGACAAAAAAAAGCAATGACCAGGCCCCAAATAGGAACAACTAGAGAGAGACCTCAGATTCTACTCCTAGATATCAACTCATTTGTTAATAGAACAAAACAACCACCATCACCATAAAAAAAAGAAAAAAAAAAAAAAAGAAAAACTACATACCAAAGGACAAATGCATAAAAAGAAAGAGGAAATTATCTCAACTGATACACAAGTCATGAAGAAACAGGCAAACATCTCCACAAAATTCACAATCCCCCAAAGGAACTGATATATATGGAAGTGAATGAAATCCCAGAGACAGGCTATAAAATGATAAACTAAAAAGATCTAGGGAACAAGTTAAGAGCAAATACAGGAGGTGAAAGCACATTTCAATAAGGAAATGGAGATATTGAAAAGAAACCCATCAAAATCCTGGAAATGATAGAGACACATGAATTAAATTATCACTTGGAAGTGTCACTAAACAGATTAGGCTGTCTAGAAGACAATTTCAGATTTTCAACATAGGATATAAGAATATAAAAATATACAACTGGGAAAATTCAATATAACAAACCTGAAATTCACTGGGACAGAAGAGAACATGTAGATACAGGCTAATGATATTGAGAACCTCTTAGTGAACTAGCAGCAGAAAATTTTCCTAACTTCAGAAATTAGATAGACATCCACATATAAGATGCTTATAATAGAACCTCAAAAAGACAAGATCAAAAAAGAACCTCTCCAAGACACATCATAATCAAAATGCCTAACAGAGAATAAGAATATTAAAAGCTAGAAGAAAAAAAGTCAGGTCATATTTAAAGGCAAACCAATGAGGTTCACCTCTGACTTCTCAATTCAGATGGTAGAATCAAGGAGGGCTTAGAATGAGATATTTCAA